TCTGGCTGTTTCCCAAAGTAAAAATGATCATGAAAGTTAAAGGTCTGGAATTGATTCCAGACACTGAGGCAGCCACAACAGTTCAACTAAAGATATGAAAGAGGACTTCCATTACTGCTTCAGAAAGTGGCAAGAATGATGGGATGAGTGTTCAAAGAGAGGGAGTTTTTTTAGTAATTTGGAGTTAGTGTCAATGTGTCTTTTTTGTAATTTTTAAAAATTTAAACATTCAGTCTATTTGTTGGGCACATCTAGGATTTAAAGAAATGGAGTAGAAGTTATTATTTCTGATGTCTTATAAAATACCTGTAATGTACACTTCTGTTGAGAAAGACTTACCCTGTATATTAACCTAAAATGCTTCCTCTTACTGAAAATACTAAAATGTATTCTTCTACCTCTGACTTCTCCCATAAGCCTCATACACATATGTCCAATTACTTAATATTCACTCTTATTTGGATACTCACAGGCATCTCAACATTAACAAAACTTTTAATCTTCTCCCTACAACCTGAGCTTCTAGTAGTCTTTCTTCCATATTTCAGCAGATGGCAGTTCCATCTTTCCATTTATGTCCCCCAAATCTCTAAATTATGTGCAGAACATATTTACTTCTCACCAGAACTCAGAGTATCATCTCAAAGAAATGTGAGTGGAAGAAGTTTGAGTTTGTTGAAGAAGACCATCAAGGACTGAGGAGGACTTGATAGTGTAGGCAATCTAGAATTGAATATTGAGGATTGAATATTTGCCAAGTGAAAAGATGAGAATGTGAGTCAGACAAATAAGGTATGGATGTGTGAAATCATATGACCAACTTGAGTGACAAATAGTTGTCACTAACACTTCATATAATTGGAAAGATCAGCAGAAGATTGACGAAGAAAGATAGTTTGGAGCTGTCTGAACAATAAAGCAATTTTGTCAAATTCATAATTTTTAGATTTATAAACTTTGTATTCTTCAGTAATTATATTTAAATTTACTCAGCTGCTAATGTGTCTACATCATGACTTTTATCCTAACAATTGTGTAACAAGTTGACTAAGTGTATGCAGTATTATTCTTAGAAAAAAATATTCATGACTCACAATAATACTTTATGAAAATGAAGGCATTATAGTCTGTGCAATGTATTTCTAACGTTGAGGTTTATGAATTTTGGACAATTCCAGTGGAATTGAGAAAAATGCAAAAAAAGGTAGCTGTCAGAGTCAGGTGTGTTTTTCTTTTTCTTCATTATAATGTTTCTGATAACAATATAGTTTCATGATAATATTATTTTTGATCCTTCTGTTTGTTCACCTGTCTCCCATTAGTCAGTCAACTGCTAAAAAAGAGTGTCTTGTGAATTTAGTGCCCAGAACATACATAGAACCTCAATAAAATGTGTTGCTGTGGTTGAAATGGGTATGAGGTGACCATACCTACATATACAGATAACTGGTATCAGATTTTCTGTATTTATTAATTGCCTACTCTATTCAAGACAGTTTTATTAATAATTCATTAACAGAAAGGAAAGAAATGGATGCACACTGTCTATACAAAGGAGGTTGGTGCTAGAGAGTTTATGATGGAGTAAATCCATTAATAGGTGATGCATTAAACAAATTCCTTCTCTAAAAATGTGATATTATCAGAAATCTGAAAAATGTATTAATCAGGAATCTGAGAAGACAAAATATTTTCATTAGATAACAATCTGATCTTAAACTTGTTCATACCATTTTTTAAAAAATTAAAAGGAGTACAAACTTCAATCCCAAGGCCACATGGCAAGTACCAGGAGCCTCACTATTCAAGAAGAAAAGAAGGGGCTTATCAAAACACATAGCAAATATTAAAAAGCACGACTGTTGAAATTCTTGAATGCCTAATCAGGAGGTCTTCACTCAAATAATTTACAATTTAATATGGAAATTAGTCAACAAGTAGAACATAAACACAGTGCAGATGAAAGACGCACCTTCAGTGTTTTAATTGAAGAGACATTAAAAAAAAAGAAGCAAGACTTAAACTAAGCCCTAAATAGGTGGGTAAGATTTTGATAGACACATTTTGGGAGACAGAAAAAGGCCCAATGATGTTCTGGGAATGTCAGTACGTGGTTTATGTTCATTACTTGATAAATTCTCTTAATACATCCCTAGGGTAGAGGCTGGAAGTTACAGAGATAGAGAAACTTAACTGAGCCTTATTGATTAGAACTGACCTGTCTAGGAAACATAGATATCAACTAGAGTCTATCAGGTTCTACATACCATTGAACTAAGGATTAACCTGTTTTGTTCAGATGAAAGGCTTACTTTGAGAAGTGGAATATCCAGCTTGATGAAACTATACTTTGAGCAGAAATTAAACACCATTTAAAGAGTTTGATTTGTGCAATGGGAGATGGAGACATTCTGGAAAACTTCAGTGAAAACAGACTTAGCGTTTACAGATACTACTTTGAGACCTCTGTGCAAGAAGCCAGACAAACTGAAGGCAGAACTCCAATTGAGAGTGCCATGGAAGCGGGAGGGGGAAAGAAAGAAAAAGAGAATAGAAGGAATAAAATGGAAACAAAACTTTAGACTCAGATTGTGTGATAATCTAATTCTTTAAAAAAAAAAAAAAAGTAATAGAATGTTAGGCACAAGTCTAAACCTCAGCTACAAATTCCCAGGAGGTGAGTCCAGATTTCTACTTCTTTTCTAATGTAGTTCATGTAATGTGGGATATTGATGATTAATTAACTTATGGCTTTCTATTGAAACAAATAAAAAAGTTAAAATTAGTCAATTGCATTTCTATGCTGAAGAGTGGCCTCACACCCTAAAAAATATATCCTATTAGTTTCCAGTCTCAATTTTGTTTTCCTGCCTAGAAATCTGTTATAAGATGAAAGATTTTCTATTAAATGTGATAGGTTTAAGTAAAACTACATGATGTGCTTCTTTCAAAGGAAATGAATACCATTCTTCACAGCAGAATCAATTTGTGATTTTGACAGATGGTGCTTTTCAAATTTAGCTTCAATCCAACACTGCTACTTTGATGTCTTTGAAATAAATGACATAATGATTCTCTGTTTTAAATTGTTCTCTACTTGTTTGGTATTTCACAAGAGGAATACCCTGAAGGGCTCCTTTTATGCATTGTTTTATTTTGTAAATTATTTTGCATCACAAGTAAAACTGTGCTTTTTAAAAAAATATATAATTTTGTAATGAAAAGTGTTTTTATTGGAAAAATTATTCTTCCTTTGTAATTTAATTGTATGATAGATATATTATAAATGTTATTTCATACATCTTT